CGGCTCGGCCCGAGACTCCGGGAAAAGGAGCAGAAAGGAAGCACTGGAGGCCGGTCACACCCTCCACAAATAACAATCTGCACACGCCACCTCCGGACCGAGAGCTGTCTGGCTGGAGGGAAGACAAACAGACAGAAAAACGGGGGAGAGCTGGGAGAAGGAGGCCCGGTGCTGTCTGCTGGCTCTCAGGTCCTGCAGCCAGAGCTACTGTTCACACCGCAGAGAGGCTGATCTCATTTAAAAAGCATGGCTGCATGAAGGCTGCTAACCGGAGCTGCCATGTCCTCTAGAAAACACACACACACACACACACACACACACACACACACCTGGTGCTGCTGTGAGACATCTTCAGCTTCACATGTCCACTCATTTTTAAACCAACATTAACGGTTCAATCACATTTTGTCTGTATATGATTTGATCAGACCGATTCTGATTTTTGTCGCCCGTGTTGACACAACCGGACTCGACGCAGCCACATCAACGTTATCTGCTCTGACTTTACTTTGGAGCAAAACCTTGCTGCGGCATCACGTATGAATTTATCTTTCAAGTAATCAAACAGTTAAGTAAGGTGCACTTATTTAAAAGAGGAACAGCTTCATTCCTGCTGCTTACATAAGTCTTAGTGCACTTTACTTTTAGGTCTATTTTATTATTTAGTCGATTTAACAGAAGCCCGACCTGGTTTTACTGATTCATTGCCCCTTTGTGTCATGCTTTAACAGGGTTTTTATATTGGCATTTTTATTCTACTTCACTTCTAGTCTTGTTCAGTGAGCCCGCGAGTGCTTGTCAATGTGCTGTTCTTACTGTCCTGTGCTTTAAATGTCTGTGTGAGTTGATATTTGCCCTCAAATCTACCAGCGAGTACCAATAAAGTCACCTTGAACCTTAAGACATACAGACTGAAAGGTCATTGAGACGTCACAAGTTCAACGAGGCTCATTCAGGTGCTTTTACAAGAGCCAATATCTAATTAAAATCTGGTTAAATGCATTCACAGGGACTTACATTTGTGATTTCCTGAGCCAAAGATTAGAGCAGATTACATTTTACATTTTTTTTCCACACAGACACAAAACAAGCCATAAAAACAGGAAGTTTTTGTAGGATGGAAGATTACTGTTCTGCCTAAACGTAGTTATACAGACACTTGTTTGCTGGTCAAGAAGCCTCATAAGAGTCTCTGTCAAGGTGCTCCTTTGCAAGCTAAAGTCCCATAATAGTCAACACAGAGGTGCCCACTTCCTCTAGTTGCTGTAGTTTTAATTGGTACGAGGCTGAACTTGTTGGCTCAATCAGGTACAACACCTAGTCTAACGTTGAGCTAATCAGGACTTCCATCCATCCATCTATCCATCCATCCATCCATCCATCCATCCATCCATCTTCTCCCGCTTATCCGGAGTCGGGTCACGGAGGCAGCAGCCTTAGCAAAGCCGCCCAGACTTCCCGATCCACGCACACCTCTCCCAGCTCTTCCGGGGGGACCCCAAGGCGTTCCCAGGCCAGATGAGAGACATAGTCCCTCCAGCGTGTCCTGGGTCTTCCCCGAGGCCTCCTCCTGGTGGGATGCGCCTGGAACACCTCCCCAGGGAGGCGTCCAGGAGGCATCCTGAATAGATGCCCGAGCCACCTCAACTGGCTCCTTTCGATCTACTCCGAGCTCCTCACCCTATCTCTAATCAGGACTTTCCTCGCTTAAATTCAATTCAATTTTCTGGGGTCAAAGATTCAAGCAATATTTCCTGAAGCGATGACAAAAACCTCTCATGCATTATTAAACTCTTTCAAATGTTCAGACTTGCAGATTTTTTTTTTTCCTGGATGTCCCACATTTCCAAGCACGGATTCGACCTCAAACGTTGGCCGGCAGACTGTGACAAACACGCTCCGCGGCAGAACGAAGTACGAGGAGTCTGGAAACACTGACACACGAGCTGAGACGACGGCGGCGGCGTTGAGTTTTGAGGTGTTAACGTACAGATCTGAGCGGCTCTTTAAGTCGCCCGAGTGTATTTGGTTTGAGAAAGAGGTTGTATATAAGAGTTCATCCACCAGGCTGCTGGCAGACGTCTCAGTGAGGAGGACATTCCTTCTCACTGTGCCTGGCCATAGAGAGGAAAGCATGCAGTACAGTAACCACAGGGACATAAAAACCTTCCAGTCTGTGTCCTTTAAATCCTACAAATATTTATCCTACCACTCATTACTCTACAGCGCGTCTCAAACACTGAGCTGGGAGACTTTTCAAATGAAGAGCTTCACGTCTACAACAACTTTCACAACACTACACTTTGTTTCCCCTCCTACAGTCTGTCGTGTACGGCTAGGTATGTACTGCAGTTAACATGAATAGCGTTAAAATAGAACTTGCTTCATTTATTGTTTTTCAGAGTTTTTCCACATGCAGATGTCTTTCCAGGGATGAGCAGAAAACCCCAGCAGGCAAATTACCAAGCCTGCAGCATCCAGTTTGCATTGATAACGTTTCCTGGAATCTCTATCCGGCTTGTCGGTGTAAATATCAGACATTCCCCAAAAACCACAAAGACTGAAACATCAAATATCCAATTACAAGCAGCCTGAGTTTGACCTGTCTGCAGTCAAGCGTTTGACAGCCTCGTGGTTTTGTTTTCACTGAGATGATTTCAGGTCAAATTTCTAAATCGGAAATTCCTGGACACCAGTCACAGATATATCAGTATTAGTGCATTTAACTTTCTTTTACACAACACAAAAAAAGAAAGAGATGCTTATGGCTCTTTGACAATTTAGAAACGGTGCAATCACATGTACAGTTTACCAGCAGAGCGGCTCAGTGTCTGCAGCACATGTAGCAGAGCACACAGGGTGGTGCAGAGTGAAGCTTCGTCTTTAAAGCAAGTCGATAGCTGGTTTTTGAAAGTAATAAGCAATGATAGCATCATTCCAATTTGCCAAAAACACTCTTAACGTTGTCGGCCAAAATAACAGAATTTCTTGCTCCCTAAAATTGCAGCAAGAATCTGGTGGTTTAGTCGGGAGCGAATTTTGACAGTTGGTTATTTATTTTGAATTATTTCTAAGAAAAAGGCAAAATCAGACACGACAATGAAGACAGAAACAGATTGGAGTTCATTTGTAGTTTGTCCAGCAGAGCGGCTCAGTGTCTGCAGCACATGTAGCAGAGTACGCTATTAACATTAGTGTAAACTCCAATCACAACGTTTGAAAGAAATCCTTTGATTAAAAACCTGTACAGGCAAAATTGCAAACCTGCAGCATCCACTTTGCATTGATAACCTTCCTGGAATCATTATCCAGTGTGTTGATGTAGTAATGAGACAATCCAGACAAGCACAAAGAAAAAAAACAAATCAGAAAAATTAAATATCCAGCGTCAAATGATCGAGTTTGACCAATTGACAGTTTCACAGGCCATAATCATGGTTTTGTTTTCACAGAGTTCTCTAAATCAGATATAAAACAGTTTCCTGAACATTAATCAGGGATATATTCTTATTAGCAAATATGCTGTCTGATGTAGCGCATGTAGCAGAGTAGAGAGCTGAGCAACCTGGGTCAAGCTTTTACTTCAAGGTAAGTTGCTAACTAGTTTCTGAGTGACACTGATGGAAACCACAAAGTTAAAACTAATCTTTTGATTAAAAATGTCCAAACCCACAGCATCCACTTTGCATTGATGATCCTTCCTGGAATCATTATCCAGTGTGTTAATGTCGTTATGAGACATTTCCAACAACCACAAACGCAGAAACAAATCAGAAACATCAAACAATAAGTTTCAAATGCAGATACAAGTAGACAGAGTCGAACATGAATCAGGGATATGTCGGTATTAGCAAATATGTGGTGTGACAATGTGGTTCAGTATCTGCAGCGCATGTAGCAGAGTACAGATCTGAGCAGTCGGTGGTGCTGAGTCAAGCTTTGTCTTCATGGCAGGTGGCTGACTAGTTTGAAATAAATTATTTGATAAGAAGCTGTACAAGCACTTTGCATTGATAACCTCCTGGATTCATTATGTCGTGTGATGATGCAACTATGAGACATTCCCAACAACAACCAAGACAGAAACACCAATCATAGATACATCAGCAGCAGCGTATAGTTGTCCAATATATGGTGGTATGAAAGGTGTCTGCAGCGCATGTAGCAGAGCACGAAGCCGAAACAAACTGAGTCAAGCTTTGTCTTCATGGCAAGTTGCTCACTAGTTTGTGAAGTGGTTGAAACCACAAACTTAGAAACAAATCTGAGAGATCAAACATCCAGCTTCAAATGCAGCTAAAGGTGAACCGAGGTTTGACAGCCAGTTGTTGTTTACACCAAGACTGTGTTGTTTAGGACCTCCAATATGAAGTAACCCGGTTCATCCACGAGTCAGCATCAACCAAACTACACATCAGCTGGGCTCTAATCAGATGTAGCTGATTAAAGGTTGCCGCCCTGACATCCATCCTGGACTGCTGACTAACCCACTCCCTCACACCGACACCCGGGATCAGCTTGCACTTTGATCACAGATGGCAGAGGAGATGGTGAAACTGATTCCAGGCCATCTGACACATCGTGTTTAACCCACTGTGTCTCCTCACTCATGCCTGACACCATGGCACCGACAACACCAGCTGACTGGAGGCTGGAACGGTGCAGCTGGGTGGAGTCTCCCCTCAGAAAAGTGGGGAAATTACCGGTTTGATCGGAAGGTGCTGCAAGTGTAACACACAGAAGGCTCCTTGTTGCTGCACCACACGCCATCATGCACACCTGGGAGCCAAACACACACACAGGTGCAGCAGCAGCAGATTCTGCACGTTTCCTTCCATTCATGCGCCTCAGCACCTGTTGAATTCCTGCAACACTTTCCCATCTTTAAAAAAAAAAATGAAACAGCACACAAATCCCCTCTCAGGCTTCATCTCCTGAGCACGAGGCGCTTATGAGACACCTCAGCGGATTTCCCAAAAGGTGAATGACCCGCAGCTTACCTGAGTTTTAGGTTGGCCATGAATTCCTCCATAGACACGTTGTCCAGAAGCACAAAATCCGCCTTTCCATACTCCAGGCTCTCGTGTTCTGCCATGCTGTCACCTTTATTCCTTTATTTCTAACTAAAACTCGTAGAAAAAAAAAAGAGGTAAACTTCAATAAGTTGCTTTGAAGCGCGGACAAAAGGTGAACATTTCCTCCTCAAACAGCAGCTGTGCGCATTTTCATCCAATTTCTCAGAGTTGTTCCTTACAAAAAAAA